TGTCAAAGTGATTTCTTTTTTCATCCTGCATGATGATTGACAAAATTCCCAATACTAATACTAAATACATTTGTCCAGTGAGTGTAATTATTATTATAATATGAAATTTCAATTTGACTTAGAACAGACACTATTAGTATACAGATATGTTGCCCAATTAAAAGAAGGCAAGTTCGAACCATTTCTTGCTCAAGAAGGTCTAGAATATTGAGTCTGAAAAAAATGATGGCAACTAGTAATACAAACATAAAACAGGGAAGTAGACTATGACCTATCACATGCAGTGTTTTTGATACAAGTGGATCTGAACAGTCTTTTGTGGTGGAACTTTGCCATTCCTTTGTGAATTTCATCTCACAGTCAGGAAACTCTTTCTGTTAATATTAATATTAAAATAGCAATAGTTGTTGGGCTGTAATTTTTTTTACACAGTCTGATGTTTTGGGAGATTTGATGCCTGGTTTTAGATGTGCTGAGAAATGAAATATATTCCAGTATGGTCTTGATTAAATTGTCTGGGTCTTATTTAGGATGTCTGAAGAGCATAACATAAACACTGAAATCAATTTTGAAATGCATATTAAGATGATAGTACTGTATTGGTTTGTAGTTTACAATCACTTGTTTGAATGCTTGTTAGAATTGAGTCTTTGCTGGTTTGTTTGGATCAAATGATGACTGAATTCTAGATGACATATTACTAACAAGTATCTCTTCAGCAGCTTACCAATTCCATAGCTTTAGCTTGTATTAAGTGCTTTGGTTAAATTACAAATTTAATAATTTAACAAAGAATGCTCCACTATTACTACGGAAACACAGCTTATTTATTATTATTATTATACTAATACTAAATTAAGCTTGTGTTACAAAAAACCAACTTTATAAACAACCGAAGTTATATTATATATCAGGCTTGTTTTCATGTGACCTTCACGATATCTAATTTAGTATAATATAACTCATGGTTAGAAAAAGAGATAGCGTTATCTCACATAAAATTAGTGACATTGTATAAGCCTCGTTGCTAAATTTGAGTATCTTGCAGCCATTTTTATAATTTGATAGGTTTATAAAAGTGGTGGTGAGAATAAACATTACTTTGTATATGCACATTTTGGGCAACAAGTTTGGTGACCTGACAACTGTTCGATTATCAATCTCTTGAAAAAAAAAATCAAGTGTGAACTTTATTCTTGTCAAGCAATGCGAAAATAAAAACCCTATACTTAATACTATGCCAGTTTCTTCTCTCTTTAATATTCAAAACATTTGTTACAAAAACCCAATGCTTGTTGGTGCACAGTTGTAATTAAGATTCCACAATAAAAGTCACTCTTTACAAGAAAGTAGATAATTTCTCACATAATTAGCTTTCATAATTGCGACAAAAGAAACAGTCACGCGCTTAGCCATGCAGTATAAATTGGGGATGCGTGAATTCTATTTGATGAAAATAGCCTTTGAATCATACATCAAGTTTGCGGCACGTTCATTAGATGGATGGCTATTTTCAATTGACGACAATGTAATACGGAACGTCAATCGCGCCCTCTTACCGTGTTAAGGTTTGCCTCCTTCAATATCAACGTGATGAGTTTACATAATTATTAATATGTTGTAATATTCTAGCACCACGTGTAGCAAATCTAATAAGAGTCGTATAATGAAGAATGTTTTGTTCTCACGTCATTATTTACACAAAACTTGTTTTTTTTTACTTGTGAGAGTATGTATTATATCAATTTATGGGCTATACTAGGGAACAAGGATTTAGAACTATAATAGCAATTCGAAAGTCCCCATTTATAAGGCGAGTTTAAACGCAGTTTACCTACGATTGTAATAGGACAGGATAATACCTTTCCCATGTCCTAATTGTAGTGGAGCAATCATGTCTTCTTCCTTGTTACACATGGTAATATTATGTCATTATTATTTGAATACGTTTGGGAAATAGTACAATTCCACGTTTGAATACCTTATATAAAAAATCAATAAAATAAGACATCGTAGAAAAAATCATGGGCGTCTTTGACATGTCGCCTGCGACAGAGCTCAACGCTGATGTCATTAATCTTATCTTTGAGTATAAAGACGATATACTGGTAAACAAATACATTCATTCCTCTCTTGTACAAAAACCCATTTCATTATATGAACACACTTTTTAGAGAAACAAAACAATAAGAAATAAATGTAGAGCTCTCATAACTACGTACATCAAATGTTTGCCTTTAGATAGACAGCTCTTCTATCATAAAGTTGATGTCATTGAAAAGCCAAGCTATCCGAGGCATCAACACGAACAATACCTTAGATCATTAACGATCATTCACTTTATAGGGGCGTTGAATGCAACTAACTATCATCAAATTGCCGATTCGCATGGTGTCTTTTATCACGACCTTATAACATTACTGGTAACCGGCAAGAAACAGCTGCAAATGCTTCACATAGAAGACACGGATTTTCATATTTTCAAGGAGTTTCTTTCGCCTTCGCTAAAATCGTTGCGTTTGGATATGAAATATTACATTAATGAAGATATTAGTCATTTAATTAATAACCTATCCAACATTGAAAGTTTGTTTATTTTATTTGCCAAACCAGAAATTGATTACGACCTATTGGAGAATATGGGAAGAATAAAGGAATCGCTGGTAAGGCTGGATATCGAAGGCGATCTCGGAAAGATTGATTTTAAATTTCTCCATATTGAAAGAATATAAGCAATTGAAAGCTATATATATTAGAAAACATGGATATTTATGTAGTTAATCAGGACAACGAAATTTGTGTCAAAAAGATGTATTTAGTAAGCACTTGTAGTTTTTTGTATAATCTTTTTCATGAAAATAAAAAGGCTTGTATCGCACCGAGGACGACGTGCAAACGTGAAAATTCATATATAGAGTGGATAATATAAAATTTTATCGATTTTTGATTTATAGCACGCGAGGTACTACGGAAATACGGACTAGAAGTTTTTAATGTTAAAATAATCAAACACTTGAATTGCAGCACCGGAATTTTGCTGAACGTGAAAACGTCCAATAAATAATACAAACAATAGTATAGTTATTTGCCATAAGAGCATTCTATCCTTTGTGGCATTCGTCTGCCTACCTGTGCGAGACATATGGGAATAACAGCACAATTTTCAAAAATTCTCTACAGATTGTGAAATAGTATTCCAGGTACAGTCAACGAAGTGGTGCGAAACATGCCCGGTTTACCAGTTGTAAACAGATATAGAGATACTAATGAAAAGAAAGTCACGACACAATATAATGAACATTCGGATATACATGACCAATTTAATAATAAGCTGAAGATTGATTTACCAACATCTTCGCTCATTGGACAAATGTATTTAGTATTAGTATTGGGAATTTTGTCAATCATCATGCAGGATGAAAAAAGAAATCACTTTGACA